AGTATCTGCATCAATCTATTAGCCAAGATTTTTGCAAAAATTTTATAATCCACATTCAACAAGGAAATAGGTCTATAGTCTTTAAGTTCCAAAATTTCTTTATCATCTTTCGGTATCAAAGATATAAAGGCTCTTGTCCATGATTGAGGTATTTGTTCTCCCAACATAATTCTATTGAATAAAGTTTTTAAAGGTTGTAGCAATATAGCTGATAAGGACTTATAATAAATTGCTGTTAATCCATCCGTCCCAGGAGCTTTGCCAACTTTCAATTGTTTGATTGCATTTAAGATTTCATCTGTTGTAATCTCACCATCCATAATTTTCTGCTGTTCCAATGTAAGTTTATATATAGATGAAGATTGTAAATATTTATCAATATCCTTACTATTTATAATTTCTGATGAGTACAAATGTGAATAAAATTCAGTAAATGCCTTTTTGATCATTTCCTGTTGATAAATTTCACGCTCTTTGACCAAAACTTTAGATATAAGTCTAGCTTTTTGTCTTTTGCGTATTTGGTAGGCCAACCACCTTCCAGGTTTGTTTGCATTAGCAAATGTATTATGTTTAATATACTTCAAATTGGTGGCCACCTGGTCTGCAATTAACAAATTAAATTGATCTTTAAGCATTTTAATAGAATTTTTTAGGTTAATATCTGTTGGTCGTTGTAATAGCAATTTCTCCTTCATCCCAATTTCCTTTTCCAAATTAAATCTAGTCTGAGTTTGCTTGCGTTTATAGGCATTGTTCATAGCAATTAATATTCCTCTTAAATAGGCCTTTCCAGCATCCCAAACAATATTTGTAGAAGTTTCCTTATGCATATTGAGTTGAAAGAACTCTTCCATAGCTATCTTCAAAGCCTTAACCTTATCCTCGTAGTTAAACAAATTTTCATTTATTCTCCAAGATTTCCTCTTTGTTTTTTGACCAATCTCCATCCAAACCAGGCTATGGTCAGACAAGGTTCTAGGAAAAATTTTAGTTTTATTACATTCTATAAGTAAATCAGTCGATATCAAAACAAAGTCAATCCTTGAAAAAGAATCATGTCTATGAGAAAAAAAAGTAAAATCACGTTCATTGATATGTTGTGACCTCCAGACATCTGTTAATTCTAAGTCATCTTTCATAGCAAAAAAGGACTTAGGTAATCTGGAATGGGTTACATCCTTAGAAGTTGTTTTTTTGTCTTTTAACGTATCCAGAACGCCATTCCAATCTCCCATAACAATCAAAGAGTTATAGTCCATCGCCACAATTTTCTGATGTAAATGTCTATAAAATTGCTTTTGGACTACAAGTTGATTGGGTGCATAAACCCCTATTATTAAACACTTTTTTCCATTTAGATTTATTTCAACCAATAAGTATCTTCCTTCTTCATCTGCATCTTTTAAAACAGGTGAGA